ACTTAGCTACTAAGTAATGTGAACCTAAGCCTTTTGTTCAGGTGCATGTTGATGATCTGAACGGCAAAAGCTTTGCTCAGTATGGCGAATGACTGTAACACCAGGGAACCAAAATTCCACTTTAAATAATTAAATCAAAATTCTCCAAGTTCTTGCTTCAAATTCTAGGACCGCTTGCTTTGATTTCCGCTAAAACATCACATCCCAATGTCAGCATTATTGTATCCTGTTAACACAGTGACAGACTACCCACTTGTGCTAGACTTGAAACAAACAAGGTGAACCATAAATGGAGACCAGTTGAGAGACACAGAGTTCACTGGCAAAGAATATCCTGGTATAGACATAATGATATTTATGTCAGTAATATCCACAGTACACACATAAAATAGCCTGTATAGCAGAAATCATTCCCTAAATGAATGAATTAATTTAAAAGAAGCTGCTTCAAACCAGTATTTTCAAAATTTCCTTCCTTCCCTTTTGGATGCCATTGTAAAGCAGTAGGCAAAATGCCTGAGCACCATCCATCCATCAATTTATTTTCTATACCACTTATCCTGAAGAGGGTTGCAGGGAGACTGGAACCAATCCCTGCTGACATTGGGCGACAGACAAGGTACACCGTGGACAGGTCGCCAGTCTATCACAGGGCTGACAGAGACAGACAACCACAGACGTTCACATTCTACCTGAGCACTCTCATTTTGTTCTTTTACAAGTGACATACATAACATATATGTGATCAAGTGAGTAAAAGAGAATAGCAAATATAAAAAAAAACAATACAAAAATGTATGCATGCCCTACACATGATGCGTTGTGCACTGTAAACAATGCTGCTTCCAGAAACCTATTTATTTTAATATCCAATGCATTTTTGGGTTGTTTGTTTAGCCCAATGTCATGAATGTGATATCTCTGAACACCCTGAGGGAATTTGGCACAAACATTCATTTGACCTCAACGATGAACTGAATAGATTTTGGTGGCCAATGTGTCACAGTGATTTAACATCTGTCCTATTCTGGTGAATTTGACTGGTTGGTGGAGGCAAACAACTACGAAGCAGTAATTCTAGTTTGCAGTAGTAAGGCTGTCGTGTGCGTGTCCATGAGAGTACGATGTAGACCTGTACTGATGTGGCGCTAGAGGAATATTTATTTGGTTCATATAATATTGTATGTTATGATCATTTTTGTTAATTAATTTAGAATGTAATCACTGGGTCAGCACATAAACAGAGCTAGTTGCTTGACTTACCCTATTTACCTGGCTTCTACTACTCATGGGAAGCTTTTTGAATTTGATTTGATTTGCATGAAAGGTATCATATAAATGAAGTTTTGATTGATAAGTAAGGAGTTTTGTTTTGTATTTATTTTTGGAATGATGTAATGCCCATTTAACAAGTTTCTCCCAACATAAAACAGTCTCAATATTATTTATCTTTCTCCCACTTTTTGTTTCTCATAGCTGTCTGTTCCCTCTGCCCTCCCTCAACTTTATCCATTGAAGTTAAGCCTTGCCAGTGTGAGATCATGATTATGCAGCCTTGTTTGCTCTGGTCTGTATTTCTCCTACTGTTCCTACTTCCCCTGCTTATATGTTAGTGTCATTGTTGTTATGCTGAAACCAAGAAGGAAAACAGAACTGAGCCTAGCTTTAACTGTAGTTTGTTTGTGATGGAAGTTAAACCTCACTCAAGAAATAATCGCACAGGATTAGGTCGAGCCCCATGGTCAAGACCAGCTGTTGAAATAGCTACTGACTCTCCGCTCTGGGTCACATTTAATTTAAGATGTGCACTTGCATATTCATCTCCATAGTGTGAGTGAGCAGCAGAGTGGACAGGGTGATATTCTATTTCTGATTGGCCGGAAAGAGCATGTGGATGACAGCTGTCTTCACTGAAAACCATTTACATGAAACCATAGTTAAAATTTTGTACACTGCTTGTGGTGGCGGCTGTGGCTCAGGAGGTAGAGCGGGTTGTTTCCTAACCGGAGGATTAGCGGTTCGATTCCTGGCTTGTCCAGTCAACGTGTCGAAGTGTCCTTGAGCAAGACACTGAACCCCCAGTTGCTCCTGGTGATTTCACCGGTGTGTGAATGTGTGAGTGTTTGGGAGTGCGAATGGGTGAATGGCCGACTAGTGTAAAGCGTAGAAAAGCGCTATACAATTATTTGACCAGAAGTGGCAAAAGTACATATATTCGTTACTCAAGTAGAAGTACAAATACATGTGTAAAATAAATAAATAAAATACTCTGGTAAAAATAGAAGTACTGATATGCTTTACTTGACCATAAAAGTAAAAAGTAGCCCTTCAAAGGGCTACCAGCTATGTCTGTGCAAGCCTAACTGAACCTCACATCATATTAATATATTTCAAAGCTCATTAAACCATTTTAACATCAAATAAAATAAAAATATACCAACAATAATTACCATTGACTAATGAGAACACATTTTAAACCCAGTTAAGCTTTAAAGGATATAGTCTTGTCAACACTCAGAGCCATACAGAGGCTAAAACTAAGAGTGAACAGCCCCTACTCACAGTTGTCAGTTTCCAACTTGGATTAGCTTAGTCATCTGTGTCTTAGACTGCTGTTGTTGTTCAAATATGATTAAAAACACTTCAGTGAAACACACCTTTGCACTGGGCCACGTGTTTTTTTTCCATTATGAAACAACCAAACCAGTGTATATGTTGCCCCAAAAGCGTCAAATGACTCAACTGTGCATGTGCAAGATCTCTGTGAAAGTGCAAGGAGCTAGTGGACTGTAAACAAGGAACATGTCACCCAGTGCATCAGTGTGCACATTTTGCTGTGAGTGCTAAATAAAAATAATCAATTATTCCCCCTGCATTATGTAATGTATTAAAACTAAAAGTAGCAAGCCTGATTTGAAAATGTTGGGAGTAGAAAGAACAGATATTTGTGTTAAAATGAAGGGAGTAAAAGTAACAATTTGTCAGAAAAATAAATACTTAAGTACAGATCCCTGAAAAAATCTACTTAAGTACAGTAACAAAGTATATGTACTTCGTTACTTCCCACCTCTGTGCTTGACACATCCGTTGACATGATTGAGAATGAGTAGATGAAATAAGACATTGCTCAGCTGCCCCTCTGGGAAGTATGGAACCATGCAAAGCTCAAAGCTTATTAGTTTCTCTTTTTGTGAATTGTCAGCTTTAAACTCAAAAGGGACTCATAGAGATTATTATGTAGTACATAGTGTCAAAAACTGCATGTGAAAGCAAACAGGAAAAGCAGATGAATAAAAAGTTTAAATACAATGTAAAAAATATTTCATAACCTTCAACACTTTAATTAATTTGACTTTAGAATGGGTCACAGTTTTATATGGACTCTCTTTATTTTGTGTAGTTGAGATGAACTGGCCAAGTACATGTTTGCATATGAATTAAAGTTGTTTTTTATGTGTGTGCTTCTTGCAGATCTTCACCTTCCTCCATAATGATGGAACTCGTACCTGTAAGGCTCCATGATCTGTAAGTTTCAGGAGAAGAAAGGTTTACGATGAGACCATGAATGCATTGTATGCTCTGTCAGACATCAGCCTTCTCTGACACCCTTCTATTATATGGCTCCTTCCCTCTTTGCCTCATTTTCTTCTGGCTGAACTCTGCTTAAGGAAAGATCACAACTGAATAACTCTTCTCCCTAGCTGTTGGCGGCAGCTCAGTTTTCCTGGAAATTACATAGAGATCTGGATTCTCAAGAGGAAGATTCTGTTTTTGGTCCAGGATAAGACCACAAGGCTTTCAAAGAAACAGCTGGGTTGAAATTATCATATTCCCCCCTCTTTTACTCTCCCTCTATCCATCAGTCCTTTCGCCAAGTCCCAGAGGCACCAACTGATGGAGAGACGAAGGAGAGAGTCAGGATAAGGATAAGAATTAGAGCATCAGAGAGAACAGAAAAAAAAAACTGCTGATTTGTCAGGAACCCTGGACTTGTGTGTTTGTGAGGATTACCCACAGGGCTTTACATCCCCATTAAGTTATATATAATAATTGTTGTTTACCTTTGAAATCTATTAACCACAACAAAGCTAGGCCTTACCTCTTTGGTTTGTTAGACCTACAAGGCATAAAGTAGAGAATAGGAAACTTGGGAACACTGAGCATGACAAGAGGGTTAAGATTCCTGTGTTGGCCTCTGTGGCCTCTGGCCCTCTTTAGCCTGCTCAGTACAGTGAAGATGCTGGAATTTGGTGGGGCACCTGGCCAGTGGGCACGCTACGGGCGCTGGGAAGCTGGATCAGTGGGCGAGCTGAGCTTCAGTCTCAAGACCAACATCAGCAAAGCCTTGGTGCTCTACTTGGATGATGGTGGCAACTGTGACTTTTTGGAGCTGCTGATCGCTGGTGGACGCCTCCAGTTACGTTTTGCCATCCACTGTGCTGAGCCAGCCACTTTGCACATGGAGACACGAGTGAATGACGATCGCTGGCACATGGTCTTGCTCACACGCAACTTTCGTGAGACCCTCCTGATGGTAGATGGAGAAACAAAAGTGGCTGAGGTCAAATCCAAGAGAAAGGAGATGGCGGTGGTCAGTGATCTCTTTGTGGGTGGGATCCCACCCGATGTGCGTCTTTCTGCACTGACGTCCAGTACAGTGAAGTATGAGCCACCCTTTCAGGGCTTGATTTCCAATCTCAAGGTGGGGGAGATGCCTCCTACTTTGTTAAATAGCCAGGGCATTCAGAGCGACCTGGAGTATCTCTGCACCAAACAGAACCCATGCTTCAATGGAGGGTTTTGCTCTATTCAGTATGGAGAAGTTCACTGTGACTGCACTCACACCCGTTTCAAGGGGAAGTACTGCAAGGAAGGTAAGGTACCCATTATACTGTACTCTCTTTATCGAGTTTCATTGCAATGTTTTTGTGCAGTGCTAGTGGCTACCAGGCTGCCCTTTAGCATGGCAATGCTAACACTGGTTGTGGGCAAGGATATCCTCTGTCTGCATGGGTGCACAAAGTCTGTTCTGTTTTTGTGCAGAGGTCAAAAGAGGCTGATTATGTTGGTATGTGGCAGTTTGTATGCTGGTGTAGACCCGCTGAGGGCTTAGTGGAATGAGGGTGAGGTGCTTTCTGAAAAGGGTACTTGAAGCTTGCATTTTGCTCTTCGATCTATTGTCAAAATTGTTAAGTTTATTGCTGGAAAGATCAAGCTGTTGAAGAAGGGAATTATGTGACTCATGCAAGGGCGTCAGACATGGCCCAGGTGCTAGTTTGAATGTGGCTGGGATTTTTTGAAAACAGTACTTAACATAGGAGGTGCTGAATATGTAAACAAATGCAGAATTGCACAGTGTAGATTTACTTTTTGCCTGGCTTTCTTTTTTTGTTTTTCTCTTTCTCCTTTTTTCATGCTTTTTCTTCTGTCTCATTCTGTCTTCTTTTTTTCTAATCTTGTTGTCTCCAGCGTGTATCATGCTCTTGCCTTCATTTGCTCTTAGGTTTGCCCATGTGCTGCCAGCACCTTTCAAACTCTGTTCTGTTGCAGATCTCTGGCTCCCCCCTTCACGCTAAAACATCCCATTTCATTTTTTTTTCTTTTTATTTTCCCCTTTCCTTCACATTCATCCATCTGTGTTTCTCTTCATCCCATAGCAGTTCCTTCACCTGCCTGCTACCTTCTCTTCTCAAGGCTATTTGGGCTTTCCATCTCTCTTCACCTCCCTCCTCTCTGTGTCCTGAGTTTGCTCCCTTACTCCACTTATCTCTCTTTCACCTTTACCCGCTGTCAGCACTTTGTACCCTCACCTCTCCTTCTCCCATGCTTATCTTCCTCATCCTGTCTCCACACCTTCCTTGTGACCTCTCTGATACTCTGTCATATATTGCTTGCCCTATTTGGTTAGTTGTAACAGGGGTAAAAGCCCTTGATCTCCCATTACATCCAGGTTTTTCTGTTATTTATACCAATAATATAGCACTACAACCACCATAATAATAGACTCGTTAGCTTCCTGTGTTGTCCTGTGTGATGAAATGACTTGTAATTACTGAACCTTCAGAAGTTGGATAACTACTTTGCCAGCAGTTATGTACCAGTTGTTTGAAATCTTGAATTTCTGTGGCACTCACAGATAAGCTTTGACAGTCCTGATAAAGCAACCAATACAAACAAAACATTTTGTTCAGTTTTTTTATTGCTTTTGATAGAGCTCAAGTAATAAGAATAAAATCAGCATGCAGCCATGATTTATGTCAGTTTTTTGATCTAAAGTTGTTTGAAAGTCTAGAAGAGTCTGACATCTCAAAGGCATATTTTTTGATTTTGCTCTGATAAGAACAAAGGCGGAATCCTTCTTTTCTTGTGACAGGGTTATTGTTTAAAGACAGCTAAGTATGTCAGTGGTGGACAGCCATGTACTGTACCTATCAGAAGCTTGGACACACCTTCTCATTCAGTGGTTTTTCTTTGTTTCTGTTATTTTCTACATTGTAGATTAATACTGAAGACATCAAAACTATGAAATAAGGTAGGCGCTGCTTTCTTGATGACAGCATTGGACAGTAATGGCAGTATTTTTGCCAGCTTCAAGAAATGGTCACCTGGAATGGTTTTGAGTTGTCAAAAGTTAATTGGTATAATTTCTTTCCTTTTTGCATTTGAAACTATCAGTTTTGCTGTGGTAAGGTGTACAGCAATTAAATAAAGATAAAAGACAGTCCATCAAGACATGAAGTGTGCAGTTGTAAAAACCATCAAACACTATGATGAAACTGGCTCTCTTGAGGACTGCCCCAGGAAAGGAAGACTGTGGAGATATTTTCTAAACCTATCAGGCATGGAAAATACTGCAGTTTTTCTTTTATTTTTTTTATTTAGCGACATATTTTCCTAACACTGATGATCTAAATGAGCATAGCTGCAGCTGTTTGATCTGATCTGCTGCCTGAGGTTTGTTGTGCACGTGTGGACCGAGAGGAAGTGTAGGGGAAAGTCTAAAGAAGAAAATCGACCAAAATTTAAAATGGTTGAAGAAATCAACAAATGAATTTTGGAACAGTGGTTGGTTAGTCTCCCACCATCATCTTTTATTTTGTTCACTTATTGAATCATCATTTCACCTGAAAGTCTGTACTAGTCCCTCACATTCTCCTCTGGTGAGCGATGTGATTTACAAACATCCTCTCCCTCCTCAAACGCCGAGATCTCAGATGACTAACAGCTGCCACACTGAGAGCAGTGCTGCAAATTTTCCACCTGCTTCCTGACGTGAAATTTCAACCACAGTTCCCTCTGTCACAGCAGTGTTAAATCAAGTACTTAGGGTTTTTGTATAAATTTTCATTCTTTCCTCACTGATTTTTGCAACACCTTAAAATACATATTGGATAAGACCCAACAAGCAAATTCCTGCAGTGCTGCATTTCTTCTGTTTCTCCACTGTAAAACCCCACTGCAGCTCCTCATTAAATATGAACATGTGCAATTTCACTGTTTAGTGGCAGAAACTGAGCCACAAAACAGTAGTAAATATCCCCCAAGGGCTACATCTGCTGCAGAGGATAGGTTCCAGCCTCATCACCTTAGATTTGGAGTCCACATCTAATTCCCAGAGTTGAAGTAGTAGACACTTCTCAGCTTCAGCCATTCGGGGGAGAGGTCAGGTCCTTCATGGTCAAAATTGCTGCTGAGTGAGACCAATAAGAAGAAGAGAGTTGCCTGGGCCAAACAACACAACATTAGTCCAGTCAAAATGAATACATTCTTCTGATTAGTCCAAATTTGACATTTTTGGTTCCAATTTCTGTGTCTTTGTGAGACTCACAGAAGGTGAATGGATTGTATCTGGAAGTGCATAGAGGAGGAGGTGTGATGATGTGAGGGTAATTCACTGTTGACATTGTTGGAGATTATTTTCAGAATTCAAGTTTACCAGCATGGCTACCTCATTAACATGCCATCCTGTCTGGATTGCACTTACCAAGCAATGTAAGGGCTACACTATTTGACCTAGAAGGACAATGAAGTGCAGAGATGACATGTCTTCTACATACAATCACCTAACCTAAACCTAGTTGAAATAGATTGGGATGAGTTGGACCAGAGTGAAGGAAAAGCAGCCATTCATATATATTTGAAAACATATTCATAAGATATTCATATTCAAATATATTCAAAATGTTTGAAAAACCCTTCTGGGTGACTATGCCATGAAGCTGGTCAAGAGAATGTCAAGAATGTGCAAAGCAAAATAAAAGGAGGCTACTTTGAAGAATCTAAGCTTTAATATATCTAAATATGTCCTCAGTATTAATCTACAATGTTAAAAATATTAAAAACCAAGAAAAATTGAAAGAATTGAATGAGAAACTGACTGTGTCCAAACTGTCTTTCTTTCTTCCTCTCCCTCTCATATTTCACAGTTCCCTTAATTCATCAAGCCTTTTCTCTGTCTCTGTGTGTGTGTCAGATTGCTGTGTAGTTGCTAGAAGCAGACACTGATGCCCAGCTCTTGGCTAAACTGAGAGCAGAATACCAATGCAGTGCTACAGTGACTGCAGGAAACATTTGTCCTTTTGAAATGGAGAGAGTAACATAGAGGGACAATGAAAGAATGGAGAAAGAGGAAAGGAAGAGTGAAAGAGAGCAAGAGGAAATTGGGAATAGAGCAATAGAGCAATGGCTGATCAACAGTGAGAAAATGAGAATAGAGCGAGACTGAGAACAGCAGCATGAAGATACTCATTTGCTCAGAGTTAATCTATTTTCAGTGATGTTTTTTGGTTTGAGGACTGTAAATTGGGTCATTATGGCTGACTGCCAGTGCAGCGGTGTATTTATTCCTTTTACTCATGAGTAGGAATGTAAAGGTCTCTCTCACTTTATTTTAGTTGGCTTGAAGACATCTGTACTAACACACTTTCATCTAGCTGTGGTATCTATGTGGTGAAGTGGCCATGTCAGAGGAAAGCTTTTTTAAGGACTTCAGAGAAGAAGAGTGCATCATTTCATGGGAACATTTTTAATGGTGAGATGTGGCACTTGCAGTATATTCACATGTATAGTTCTAGATGATTTTTGATGTGCTATTTGACCATTTGGGCATTTAGCCAGTGCTCTTTTCATTTTTAAGCTGTAGCATAAACTTGAATTCCCAGACCATTAAAACTACAAATAGCCAAAAATAAGTGGTGCAGCAGTTATCTGCATTATTGTCACAGCAGTACAGCTTTTATAGTAGTTGTATGGCATATCCTAAGGACATAACACATTGAGCAGTGGGGAGCTAACATCCCTCAAGTTATAGAAAAAATATATTTTCCACTTACTGCTAGTGGCACCTACCCATAGCCATGTATATGGTTTTGTTTTTATTTTGAAGAGAAACGGTTAGTGATATAATTTTTTTCTACTGTGATAGATTTTGAGATTTTTCCAAACCATAGGTTTTTGTATCTGTCATTTCTTTCTTTTAATTACTAAGTTCTTCGCTCCCAGGATGTTTTGTCTGTTTTTTCTTTCCATCGATGGTGTGTCATTTGATTTTTTTTCCTGCAAATCTGTTCTGTTATGATATGTACTAATATGGCAGTATAGAATTATACCTACCACGGTGAAGGATTTTATTTAATTCCCATTTACCAATGAAATTTTATTTATATTGCTTATAGAATTGAAAAAGCTAGTTCAGTGTAAGCTTGGACCTCGGTAGACTTTAACCAAAGCTCTGATATTGATAGCCAGGCTTTCTGAATATTTATCAGCAAGTTCCCACGATCGAAGCTGCCGAAATATTTAACATGTTTAATTAAGTTCAGAGATAATAAACATGACACCAGGCCACATTCGATTATATTAAACGTTCCTCATC